CAAAAAAAGTAAGCCAATAGCCAGACAAAAGACAAATGTATTTATATTTGTAACCAAATACAGAACGCCTATCAGGACATGGTCAGAGCCACTTTGGACATCTCCTGACTGACTATTCTGGTATTTTAATAAGTAGCGAGTCCAAACAAGATTAGGTGCTTCCAGTTTACGAAATGTCACCAAAGGCAGCACTATCACTCATAATAAATGGGCTTATGCAAACAATGTTTTTTTTGTCATGCATAAGAGCTTGTTTGGTGTGCTCCACGCTGATGCTGTATGCTGATATGCAATTATTCTAAGTAGTATCAAAGTTCAGGTGTAAGTCTACCATCTCGCTGTAGCAATGGGAGATGCTCCGAGAAGCAATAGATTACCAAAGGAATATTCCATGAATAAAGACAGGAAAAAAAACTTGTGATGATAAGAGAGAGCCCAAGAATGTGATAAAATGCATCCCATAATGGATGGTCCTCCTCGTATTCATATTTTCTTTGTGGTCCAGCTTACACCTGATGTGAGTCATAATTCTCCAGCTCGTTCCTCAGCTGTATATGCTCTTAAAAATGTCACACAGAAACTTTGATTAGTCCAGCTCAAGTGTCTGAGCTCCTGCATAATAATTAACCCAGTTTGTATGTGCTAATGACATCTAATTATCATTTGTGTAACAAGATTGCTCTCATTGCTGTAATGAGAGAAACTCCTTCGAATGTTGCACTGCTTACAAACGGCTTTCTGCTGTTATTAGCAGAGTGTTTATGCAATCACATCTAATTGAAGCGTTAATTAAATCAGGATGAGCATTTTGCTGAGCAACGACACTGAGTTGCGGACGAGAAAGGTAAGCTTACAAACCTGAATGCCCCTTTTGTGTACTCTCTACTGGAACTCCTGCCATCTGCGGTAAAATATGGCCACACCAGTTTATTTGTTGCATGTAGAGGACTGAGAACCAATCAGAGATGATTGGCACTTTGACTGGCTAGTCAAATCAAGCCTCTCCCTCTCTCTAAACAATTCAACAATAATTGCCATGTACAAGAAGGTGAAAGAGTCCTGTCTCGTGACCTTGCCCCTCCCATCAATATCCATCTAAGTGTGGACAAAGGCAATCTCAAGTGACCAGACACACACAGGAGAAAATTACAGATCAGTAATCAGTATGCAGTTAAAATAGAAAGTGAAATGCTGTAAGAAATTCAATAAATGTTGAATATTCAGAGATTTACACATAATGTTGTTAAAAATGTCATAAAGATGTTTTTTTCAATTGACTCCTGTTTTTTTCTATTTGCTGACTATTAAAGTTTCTATTTTATTCTGCAGAAACAAAATGAAAAAGACTAGATTAAATGCATTTAGCTTCATACTACATTAATTGCTTTGCATCATGGATGTTCTTTTTTGTGAGACTTAAGGAAAACATCAAAGGGAAAATTTCACAACTTTAACATAAAGACAGGTGTCATGAATCTGCACGTTTTGATTCTCTTTAAGTTTTCCTTTTGAGTTTTCAGTTTCACTTTGATTCAGGTTTTTCTGTTTTTTCTAGTTTTATGGGTTTCATTCTCATTTTGTGGTCTTTTCTGGTTGTATTTGAGTTCCTATGTATTTCTTGTTTTCCCTCTGTTGTCCTCTTGTGTCAATCTCCTTTCCCCTAGCTCCATTCTAGATTTGTCTGTCCACACCTGCCCCCAATCTGCTGATTTTCCTGGTCTTTGTTCAGTCTCCCATTTATACTCCTCCTCTTCAGTGACTGTTCGCTGATTCCTTGTCATTTCTTTGCCCTTCGTGTGTGTTTTCCCTGGATTTCAGTATTTTGTTTGTGGACGTTTGCTTTTGTTTCCACCTTTTGGCCATTTAACTTGAAAGAAACCACCTTAGCTTCCATCTCTGCTATTGGCTCCTTCAAACCTCCACTCAACCTGACAATAAGTTTTGTACAACTAGACACTGGAAGTTTTGACCTCCCATTTTTGAAAATTGTTCAAGGTCAGTGTGGATGGAGAGCATCTCTAATGAATAATTTCAATCCTCATTTATGTTTAGGTCTAAATTTTGACTAGTCCATTGTTTCCAGGGACAGCAAAAGCCTTAATGGGGCCCTAGGCAAAGTTTTATTTTGGGCCCCTCATTTGTGTAAATAATACTGTACTTATTCCTGCATTCTGCAGTTTGATAAGCAGATAACTTAAACACTAATAATAACTCCTTGCAGTTTTGGCAGTGTTGTTTACAGTCTTTTACTTTTATGAATCATGCACTGTAACTAAAAGTAATAAAATAAACTAGTACGCAGTTTATTTAGAGCAATAGTATCACATATTTTGGTTCATCTGCAAAAGAAATATGCAAAAATAACCTGTAGTTAAAGAACAATAACAGCACAGAATAGCTTTGATAAATAAAAACAATAAATGAAATTTAACACAAAAAAAATGTAATTAAATAATCAATAAAATATGGAGTATGGTCTTAAGAAATGGAAATAAAAAGTTACTTGTATCCAGATAGCAAAATAATTGGCTCTTAAAACTATGTTAATGTATGTAACTATACACATAGATCTGTATATCCTTGCCTGTTTCACTGTTCATCCTGTGTTTCCTTGCTTTTCTGTTTGCAAAATCGCTAACAGACAACTGTGCAATTGATACTAACCACTGCCAACCTACTCCACCATTCTTATGCTCTTAAAGATCAGGAAATTCCTTAAAATCTATCGATTGAAGTTTGGAAAAGCTCTGTAGTCCGGGCAATCCTCGGAGCTACCTTACACTAGAAAAAATCGAAATCTAGATATGTCATTTTCTTCTACTGTAACTAAGTGCATTTGTTCTTGGATTGAGGAGGAAAAAGAGATATTTTGCCAATGGAACAAGATAATTTACACTGAAAACACATTGTCACATTGCATTGTTTTATTTCAAGTGCATTTTATCTTATTTTAAGAGTAAAAATATTCATTCCATAGGCAAACTATCTAATTTACCTACTGAAATTATGGGTAAATACACTTAATTTAGGAAAATGTAACTTATTTCTACATCGTTTTTCCAGTGTAAGATTTGGGTAGAATTCTGATCTCATTTTGAGAGAGGTAAGTGTGTTAACCCTGTAAGACCCACTGTTGCAGAATTACAACATTTTTTGTCCTCCCAAAATAAACCTTTTTCTTTTTTTTTTTTTTTTGGTTCAACTGCATTAACATACTCATTGAGTCATGCTGTTTCATCTCACAATGCTATTGGGTCCTACATTTGTATACAAGGCCTACCCTCAGGTGAAGAAGTCACACAACCTCCAGATCTTTGCTTGAGCATCATCCCCTCGATTTACTGGACTGGATTTATCTAATTGAAGTAAGTAAAAAGCTTTGCATATTTTTTTCTGTGTTTATTACAGTGTCTACAACATGTAAATATGTAGTTATTGTGGAAAATGTGCCCTACACTTTATCTAGAGCCTGTTTTGTAATTGTTGCAATATTACAACATTGGGTGAATGTGGTAGTCAAAACAACCCTGTTTTTGAGAGGAATGTCTTGAGAGGAAGTTTTCCCAATATAACTTTGAACCACACATAATTTACACAGTCTAGCCCTTTGCCTTATATTGAATTATATGTATTATTGTGTTAGAAGCTAATATACTAAGATATATTGCCATATCTAATCATTTTAATTTACTTATAAGGATTTCTAACCACCTTCAACACTTAGTATTTTTCCCTTATCACAGAAGGTAGGGCTTTCTAACATGTCTACAACACAACAGCCATGTTGTGCATGTCTGCCCTTTGTCTTGGCTATTGATAAGGTAATGTTCCAATCAATTCATAGTCAAAGCAGGTGTGGGGATGCTTGCAGGGGCCTTTGCATTACATTGCTCTGGAACAGGGGTTGATGTTCAGGAATGTAAGGTGTGGCTGTAAGTTGGAGGCTACTTGGATTCCTATTTTGATGATAATCAGAGTTTAGAATTGGTCGGCCACACAGTATTGTGTGACACAGTATTGTGTGACCAGTGAAATGTGTGAATGGGTTACTTCAGGGCAATGTGTAAACACTTCAAATTAACATCAATCTCTCAACCACCCAGTCTTTTCCTGCAGGTTATCTAGAATCTAAGTATGTGTACTATTTATATATACATTTGTTTAAATTTTATCTTTTCCATTTCAGAATGCCAGCAGCAAGGAAAGATCCTCGGTACAGTGTGCAGGATATCATTGCAATCATCCAAGATGGAGAGAGTGATGTGGACATACCCCTTGATGACACTGATGCAAGTGATGAGGAGTCAGACAATGATCCCTGTGTGGACAAAGAAAACCAAGAGCCGTCTGACTGCCCAGCCAATGTGGACATTGAGCCCCAAGAAAATGAACGCATCATGCCCCGTGACAGATATCGCTGGCAAAAAAAGGATTTTATCAGTCCCAATACTGATTTTTCTGGTCCACCTGTCACGGACAATGTAACCTTCCTCCACACACCACTCCAATACTTCCAAAAGTTTGTGTCAGAGGACATGATTCAAGCTCTGGCTACAAGTACAAATGAGTACAGCATTCAAAATGATGGAAGATCTGTTAACACTAATACAAAGGAAATACAGAAAATGTTGGGCATGTACCTGAGGATGGGCTTGGTACAAATGTCTGGAAGCCGTATGTACTGGGAGACAGATACACGGCACCCCCCTATTGCTGATGTGATGCCACGCAACAGATTCCAATCTCTGTTGACAAAATTACATTTTGTCAACAATTTGACAGTGTCAGAGATTGAAAAGAGGGACAAACTCTGGAAACTCAGACCATGGCTTGAATCATTCAGGGAGAAATGCCTGCAGGTGGTACCAGAAGAGCACAATTCTGTGGATGAAATGATGATTCCTTTCAAGGGGAAGTTCAGCAGCATCAAGCAGTATATGCGAGGCAAGCCACATCCATGGGGGTTCAAAGTATGGGTGAGAGCTGGAATCTCTGGCATGATGCTTGACTTCGATGTTTACCAGGGCAGCAAGAATGGAATACGCGTCAAATCTGAACTTGGATTGTCAGGTGATGTTGTATTGAAGCTTGCCTCCACACTTCCTAAGGGTCAGAACTACAAGATCTATGCAGACAACTACTTCACCTCTGTTCCACTGGTAGTGAAGCTCCTTGAGCATGGAATCCATTATGTGGGTACAGCCAGCAGGTGCGGCTCCCTAACTGCAACCTTGAAGATGAGAAGAGCTTGAAGAAGAAGGGTAGAGGAAGCTTTGACCACAGAGTGGAGGGGACACAAAACGTCTGCGCTGTGAAATGGTATGACAACAGGGCAGTCACACTTGTGTCATCCTTCACTGGACCAGAACCTGTGCAGGAGATTCAGCGCTGGGACAAAGCCACCAAAACCTACATTGACGTTGAAAGACCTTACATTGTGGCTACCTACAACAAATACATGGGAGGTGTGGATTTGTTGGACTCATTTACAGCAAAATACAAGATCACCCTGAAATCCCGCCGATGGTACATGTACATCTTCTGGCACACCATCACCCTCGCCGTGGTCAACGCCTGGCTCCTCTACAAACGGCACTGTCAGGCTCTCGCGATGCCAAAGAAGGAGATGCTAAACATGAGAAAGTTCCAGGCACAGCTAGCATCCTCTCTCATCCTGGTAAGAATCTATTTCTGCTATTTGCCATGTTTTGCGATATCTGCATGCATTTTTGACACGTGCATGAATTGATTATTAATATTAATATTGATTCTTCTCTTTTCAAATCAGATGGACACAACACTCACAACTCCAAAAAGAGGACGTCCATCATCAGGCAGCGGGAACCCAGACGCAGCAGGGAGTCCCTTGACTGCTAGGAAGAGACCATCCTCAGATGATGGGAGTCCAAATTGTCCGTCCAAGAAATCATGTGCACACCCCCCACTCGATGTGCGCAAGGACCTCACTGGACATTTCCCCATGAAGGTCAAGAGAGGACGCTGCAGACATTGCAGTAAAGGGTATACGAATACCCATTGCAGCAAGTGCGATGTTCGCCTCTGTTTTTCAGAGGAAAGGAACTGTTTTTGGGACTATCATTGTAAATAAAAAGTTCTCTTTGCTGGAATAAATAAAAACAAACTGTTCATAACAACATGACTGAGAGTATTTTTCATGTTATACTGTTCTGGGATAAAAGCAAAACCCTGCAAATTAATCCGTAGTCCTATATTGTTGTTCAGACAATGAGTACACATACAGGAAATTCTGCTCCCCATTTGGCCCAATGTTGCAATATTACAACATTTCTGTAAAAACTTACTAAAACATAAAATTTTTGAAAACACTTCATTTTCAGCCTCAAAGGCCTCCTACAACAACATCTGAGTGGTTTAAAAAAAATTTTTTTTAGTTTTTTTCTATATTTGGGTTTTACAGGGTTAATGAGATCAAGATGTCTGGAAAGTTTTCAATCCAAAATTATCTGGAATTCCTTGTGTGTCTGTTAAAAACAATCATTAAAAACTTACAGTCATACCATCCAGCAGAAAAAAAAGGAGTTTAACTCCATTGTTTTATGCAAACCATGATAGAAACAAATGGATAAAAAAAACAACACACATTTGGTACCCATGCACCTAAAGCAATAACATGTTGCACTGAGCAAAGTGACTTGCAGGAAAATGAATACATTAAACTGAATTAAATCAAAGAGAGGTGATTAATTCATTGATAGTTTACATTCTGTCTTCATGCTTTACGTCCTGTTCTCTGCCCAAGCAGGATTATATATTCCACTTCTCCATCTTTACCTTGTTTCTCTTCTCCTTCTCTCCATCTCATTTCATATCCAAGTCATTAGGTGTCTCCCCCTTCTCCCACCCTGCTCCTGAACAGGACCCATTGGCCCTGATTAATCTGCTAATCTGCCTTAATGAGGGGGTCATTCGGACATCTGATCGCTATGCTGCAGAATCAGTGATAGCTGCTTGTCAGAAATACCGATGAAAAACGAGAAGAAAAAAAAGAATTAAATATATCAGGTGATACAGACTGACAACAGGTATTTGTGTATTCCAGAAATATATTCTTATTAACGAGGGGAATATCAATTGCAATAGAAGGAGGATCTCTGGTCAGATGGGGCAAGGTTACATTTTTAGCCAAAATGCTACATATTCAGTATGAAAGAGCATTAATCATTGTCTTATATACACCATTACCTCTGGGAAACATGATGGTGGCAGGATCATGCTTGGGGATTCTTGTATTAAATTAATGCAGAGGAAATAACATTTACCATTGGATAAGGCAACCATCTTGTTAATTTTTTATTTCAGAATTAGTCACTGCTTTTATTTGGTCCATCACAAATCCATATAAAACCGAATAACATCTCTCTAACTCCTTAAAATATGTGAGGGATGTGAATACTTTTGCAGGGCAAAAGTATCTATGATTACCTTTTTCCTTTCGTCTGGTATTTCAGTCAACATCTGTAAGACAAGTGGTCTTTAGTGTGCTATTTAGATTCACAACACAGCAGTGTTGAACTGAATGAGGGTAGTGCTGTTGCTGAAATTTGTGTTTGTGTGTTATGATCAGACAAACAATAGGTCATTCAATATTGCAGCTCTGTGATACACACATCACAAAGACCTAGTATCGGCAAACACACAGAAAAAACCTTCAGTTAGGAGATTATGAATTGATTTCTTCCGCCCCGCAAAGCCGTGTCTCTGTCTGTGAATGGAGTAATGTGTCCACTTGACCTTTCTTGGTGGGTTTCTTTCGGCTGAATTGAGTCTAAAGAGTTTGGCCCTGGCCTTTTCAGCGCTATGGGTGTCCTCCATCCATAGTGTGGCATGGCCGGAAGACATCAAAGCATATGTCAGAGCGTCAGGCTCAATCAGACAAAATTAAAAAAGTTGTTTTTTCAGGGGTGTACAGAGCCCTGCAACAGTAGTCATATCATTTAAATGTCTACACATGTCAAAAATGAAAGATTAAAGATTTATTTATGTTATGTGGCAACCTAAGTCCTTTTTTTTTCTTACAGTGTTTGTAATCATCTCCTTTGAGTCAGCATGGAGTCTTTACTGCCACTTTAGCCACAAGTCCTCTTGAATTATCCTTACTGACTTTCCATATATTGAGACTTAAAGTTATAGTGGAGGATATACTTTTTCCAGGTGGATCATAAAAATAAGTGGTCCTCCTAATTGTCAATCATTCTGATGATATGTTTACATAAGTCCGTCCTACGTTCTTGTCCCCCTTTTCACTTACAGGTCTGACATAGTGGGAAAAAAAGCTAATCTTTTGGAAAGTAAGCTTGTATGAGCGATGCAAACAGCAACTTTTAAACAGAGTGTGCACAAGGAGAAATGGGCTTGTGCACGCTCTCGCACACGTTTAATAGGCATTCCCTCTATGGAGCAGGTACAAGGTTGCATGTGCATTTTTTTTTTAAAGGGATAGAGTGGATATTTTCAAAATTCACTAAAATCCTCCTCTATACATTTAAATGTGATCCTTCTTTGCAAAATAGGTGAAACTTAGTCAGAGGAAAAGCCTCTGTAAGACTAGGTTTTCAAATCCTGCAATAAATGATCAATTGGTTTCAAATCTGAGCTTTGACTAGGATATTTTACCATGTGGTTATTCACTGATCTAAACCACTGTATTGTAGCTGTATATTTAGGGTCCTTCCACTGATGGAACATAAACCCCAGTTTCAAATATATTTATCTATATCATCCACTAACTATCTCTTTGTATCGACCTATTGGTTCTTGCCGCCTCCCCTGTCCTGAATGAAGGAAATGATCCTCAGAACATAAACCAGCTTTCAGCCATCACATTTTACCATGTATATACTGTATTCTATGCTTCAGGGGGATTTCAGATGCTAATGTTCTGCTACAAATTAGGTTTTCATGTATGCTTAACATCTGAATTTTGGTCTCATCTGAATGGGTACTTTTTAAATCCTCTCTAAAAGCACACTTCTTCTCCCTGGCTTTTAATCAAGTCTAAGTGGACATTTGGTAAAATTTTATTTAAGATTTCATTTTATTTTAAAATGTATTTTATTTAAATTGAAATATGTATCCTATCATATTTTATTTCCATTCAATTGTTCTTTTTGCATTGTGTTTATGTATTTTAGCTTTCAGTTTTTATCTTGTGCTCTGAAACTGTGATTTCTGTACGGCACTTTGGTCAACTCCGGTTGTTTTAAATGTGCTTTTTAAATAAAGTTTGATTTGAGTAAGTTTGAGTTTTTTGTATCCCCTTCATAGCTTTTGGGAAACTTTAAACTGGAGCTCTTGTACATTTGCTTGCTTCTCTCCACATTTTGGTAGACTATATTGTGATTTATAAGACTAACAGTGTCAGCCACCTGGGCTTTCCTTGCAGCTCCAGAGTTGACACAGTCTTCTTCGTTGTTTCTCTGATTGCTGCTCTTCTCGCCTCACCTTGTTTGGTGTGCTATCACAGACATTTCACCCATATTTACTTATGTGAATTCGGTAGTTTTATATTTCTATCCATTAAAACTTTAGAAAATAAGCATAATTTTCCATCTAACTTGCAATTGTGTGCTACATTATATTGGTTAATAGATAAAATGCTTTAAATTGTGCAGTTTTAATTGGATGACATGTAAAAAAGTCAACAGTATCACATTACATTATACTTTGCTGACCTACACCATGTATGTAGCATGTTTAACTGTATTTTAGGTCTACAAAGCTCTCATAATACAGAATGCAAAGTGAGACATGTGTAGAGAGTATCTGCTGTCACTGAATTTCCTGGTCCTTGTCCAAGTGCCATCTCAGGTCTGCAGAGTATGGTGGCAGTGAGAACGGCCAGTGACACAGAGGTCCTGTGCATCTGAAGAAGCATCTGTTGTAGATGTGAGCTGCACAGCGGCCGTCCTGTCCTCGCTGTCGGCGTGACACCATCCCACACTGTCCAATGTCTGTCACGCTGAGCACCATGCAAAGTTAATTGTGAACTGGAGTGGTGCTTTGGGCCCTCTCGCTAAGCAGCCCCTAATGACAGGCAGAGAGACAGCTACACATGTTCGCCGGCTCTCCCTCTGGAGGAGGCTGCAGATAGCTCCTCGCCACAGACACCAACCTGTCATGGCGCTGTCAGCGGCCAGCCCGTCAGCAGCACAGGCTCTGCTCGCAGACCAGCTATCCCAGGTGCTCAGCTGACAATCTCCACACCCTTTTCTGTCGGCTTCGCTGCCAAGCCTGCTGCTTAGATTCATTAAGGCTTTATTCGAAGCAGAATAAAGCCTTCATTATAAACACAGCTCAGTATGTGCACTACTCAAGTAAACATCACATTTTATGCTTTAAATTTCTGTTCACACTATTTTACAATGGATGTTACTCAGGCATCTTGTTATAATGCTACACTCCTGGTTTCCCTTGCTAAGATGACTCCTAAGGTGTGCATTTGGTGTTTATGAGGGAGTCTCCTGGAATTGTAACAGAGCTCAGGACAGACGTAAGGAACACATGTGCTAATATCTCCTCATAGGAGCCCAAATGAGCCATTACAGAAGCTAATCTGACAGGCACGCTGCATTCAGTTCCCCATCTGCCAGCCGCAGCTCTGAGAGCCACAGTTTGTTCCTCCTGACTGCAGAACTGGATGGGACAGATGGAAAACACTCTACTTTAGTAGCAAACTACTGGCCATGGATGAAAAGCGATGCAGAAAGGACGACTGGGAACATGATCACATCAGAGATGAATCATCTAGTCAGGGCCTGATGTTTGTTCAAATCACAACCAATTAAGCACTTTTGCTTTTTTGAAAAGGCCTTTCTAGTTAGTGAAATGGTTAAACCGAGTTGTTGGAACCCGATTCTGACTTCATTCTTGGATTAGAAATTAGGCTATGGCTACTGATTCAGGGACCATGGAGGGTGGAGCTCATATTTTGGCTCTGGAAGTCTAAAGTGTCAGTCAGTAGTTTGTAGCACTCTTAAATTAAGTCTTGTAATAAAATGTATATCAGCACATCAGTAGATTAATGTATTTGATATAGATTACTTACATTTCAAACATGTGATTGGGCTTGTT